ATGGGCTCGACCTGCAAGTGTTGGTATATTTTTCAAATTTATTGTCTTTCCAGGATTTAACCATGAATGAGTCAGACTCCTGATTGAAATAGGTCTTGAAGGGTCCATACACAGACACATCGAGCGGTTGCAGCTTATGGCTAGTGTGTAGCGGTAGAGTAAGGAGAATTATTCCATTGTTCTTGCAAATGTCAAGTCCATTCGGAGACATATGACTGTTATGGTTATCTAAAATGAGCAGAACTTTGTTGTCCAAGGAACATTTAACAAATTTAATAAAATGCGTGAGATATTTCTCAAAATTCTCCTCAGTCACCCAACTACTGGCATGTGTTACAGCTAAAGATCTTGGGGGGGGGGGGGCTGCAGTCATATAATATTGAACATTTTTCCTTGGGAAGATGAAAACGGGTGGCACCGAATTTCCTGTAGCATTGGCAGCACAACAAATAGTGACAGTAGTTCCTCGCTCTGCTGAAGTAACTTTTGCTACTTGTTTCTGCCCCTTCTTCGAGATAATCTTCCATGGTTTGTGAGATGTTTGAACACCCGCTTCATCGCAGTTGTAAATTGCAGAAGGTTCGAAGCTGTGGCGGACCATTACTTCACGAAGCAACGTGAAAAACTCTCCTACTGTGTGTTTGTTGAATGCGGTGGACCGGCTTAGACTTGTCGCTTCTGGAGTTCTTAATGATAAATAATTATTACGGCCCATAAACCCTCGCAACCAGTCACGCGAGGCAGCTTTCTTATTTGCCCAAGTTGCAGGTGAGACTCCATTTGCTAAAGCAAAGGAGTAGGCAAGTTCCCGGGTTTCTTTCGTAGTTGGTCCATAATTCATATTTGCGGCTTTGAGCAGATATTCTCCCAGTAAATTTTCCTGTTCATTATTGAAAATTTGTGAGGTGTTGTAATTTGGCTGGAATGATTCGGATTCCCCATTCCTTCTGAATCTTTCCACATCTCAGAGTCATCTTATCAATTCTGTACGTTTTTGCAGTTGTGCGTAGCTTACTTCCATTGACAACCTCCCTTACTGCCAGTTTCATCCGCTCAGGTGACACGGGAACTCTTTCAGTCTTTCTTTTCCACTTGAAAGGCATTTTCTGTGAAGAAATACGTATCTTTAGGAATTGTTCACACATGAATCAAAACTCGTGAGGGAACGTGGGAGCGTGGATACATGTATCAACCCTCTCGAATTATTAAAATGTATCAAACCTCCCTTCGTTACAAATTTGGAGCAATTGACCGACACCAAAAACATAACCTAACATTTCAATACTTTGAATACACGAATGTTTTGAAAAATTCTTACCCATACCTTGCATAATTTAGAATAAATCTCCTGGAAACAATAATTTGATTGTAACTCACACACAAACCACCATTTACGAAATATTTTTAGATTAACATGACAGCTGGGATGCCGTGTTGCACTATCTTGCGCATGACTGATGTCATATATTTTACGGCGGCAATTTCAACTATGTATCAACCCACCCCACGTTCCCCTATTTGTTTTCATACGGTAACCACGCAATGATTTGAAAAGTCGCAATCTGATATTTTCATTTTTGCAAAAGATACAAATATAGAGAGTAACAGAATGTACGAAAAGCACTGCATTTGACTGCAGGTTTTTATTTTACGTACACATCAGCCTGCGGAACCACTTTCGCACACGGGAGCAGAAACATTTTTTGCTCGTAAAGTAGTCTTTTTTCATTCGAAGAATATGCAAACTACTAACTCTCGTGGAATATGGGATTAATTTACCCCTCTTGTTACGTAAATCAGTTTTAAGCATACGATATATTCCAGAAATATTTTCCGAATTTATTACTTTATACGTTTTAAAACAGAGACGATGCTACAGTAACAGGAATATGTAATATGTCTGTTCTGTAAGGAAAGAACAGGCGGCGCTATTAGAATCACAATTTAATACGGTCCACTTGAGCTGCGGGTGACAAAAAAGCTATCTCAGTCTTTGCTACCAGCGGCGCAATATGCCATAGCTGGGGGAGACTTATCACACGCATTAATTAATGGTAATAGTCCTCGAATCCTACACATCACCGAGTCGTGGTAATTTTTCTCTTGAAAATGGAAAATCATACAGTATCGAATTTAATAAGAACTTGCCATCTTTAATTACATTGAGCACGTAATATTATATTGTATTGCTTTAAAAGTGCATTGTGAACACAGCAGAACAATCCTTTACTTTTATTGTGCTATAAATCTGTTAGAGACCGAAATGACTGCATTGTACAAAACTCTGCGCTGTAAAAATAATTGCACTTGCCAAATAATTGCTACAACCTTTAATTTGTTTTGCAGCCAGTGACTAATGGTCTTTTAAAATGTGATTCAATTTAAATTCTAGTCTCCGCCGTTTTACATGTTACAATTAAATCCCTTAATAATAAAAATCTTTGGATGTAAATAGCCCATACTTCTTATTTTAGCATTCCGAAAGAAGGTTTTAAGGTAAATAACCATTTGTTCTTTACAAGCTTCTCTAAATCGGATCGTGGATTTAGGAATTGTCTTTTTAACATATCTTCTTGTTATCCCGTGTAAAGCAAGGTATTAACCTATTGGAACGGTATATCGAATTTTTCTATATGCCTTTGTTTCACGCTATAGAACGTAAATCTGAAACCAAGCCACTGCGGCGGTTTTCTTAACTTGCTCGCAATTTATCGTTATTTTGGTAAAGGTTTCCTAACAAACTGAACGTAGGTACGCCATTTTGCCGTGGATGTTTCCCTTTACAAAATAACAGTAATTTTTCAGGTTCGTGTCGGTGTGAAAAATCTTCTTTTTCTCTCTTCAAAGTACTTAGGACTTACCTTCTGTACCTCTTTAACCCGCTAGCTCAGATAATAACATGGGTGCAAATAGGGAGATAATTCGTTCTATTCTAGCTCACGGTATAACATTCATTAATCATAAAAACGTAACCAAAATTTGGAAGAATGTTGTTTTGACGTTACTACTCTCATATGCTTCCGAGATTGGTATGTAAAGGCAACAATTTGGGTTTCCTTTATAAGCAAACTTCTTGACCTCCTTGAGAAATTACAGAGAATTAACATTAATTATCCTTAATACCTTTATTTGAAAGTCAATGGATTTAAAACATATAAATATCTCCGCCCTTAAAAGAACGGTAAAGCTTAATAATCAAAAATAACGGACATTTCCTTTAACTGGTACCTTAATCAAATTTAACTGTTATACAATCCCCTAAAATACATAAAACCCCAAAAGTCAAATATAAAATTGTTCAGATCGATCAAAAATACGCAAACTTCACGATTTAATCAAGTTTATCAAATATAAAACTGCAAATTCTACTTTAATTCATCTCGGTAATGGCGTTGCTTCTTATCTAATCGCCTTACATCCGCTGGGAACAGGTTGGTGACCTCGCATTCCAGGCGTTCGGTTTTGTCGTTACAGGAACTCAAACTGGTGGTGGTGGACTGCCAAATTTCCCAAATCTAATCTTCTCAAGGTGGAAATACCCAAAAATACTCGCTGGCGGAAAACAATACGCCGGCGGGAAAAACTAACGCTGCATAGGCTCCTCTTCAGGCTGGGAAACAAATTACGTTGGCACGCAGACCCCAAATTCCACCCTTAGATAACGATGTGGGCGTAAAATATCTCGATAACTTTATTTACGCTATATCAATTTTAAAACGTTCGTCGACGTCACACTACCACTTTTGACTTTTTGTTGCGTATTGAAATCGTAGTACGCTAACTGCGTATACCGCGTACTGCAAATTTCCAGACACTAATTACCACCTTTACTACTCGATGGTTGAACGCCGACTCCCTGCACTTTTTTACTCACGATAAAAATTCCCCTCGCACCGTATAAATCGCATTCATATAAAAATGAAACAAAATCACTTTAAAAATAGAATCTGTCCTTTGCACTTTATATCTAAGTTACATTGTAATCAAAAAATTCTTTCTAGGACGTAAAGAATGTGTAAATTTGGTTTTTAAAAAACTCCAACCCATTACAGTACCCCCTCCTTGTTTTTGATACAACTGGTCTGTTGAATCGAAAACAACATACTAAGAGTTAAAAGCAAAACATTCCTATAAAAAAATCAAACTTATTTACAAAATATATATACAGTGAAAATAGAATTTTCAAAATTGATAACAAAGGATCTCAGGTATTAGGTTTGGTTAGGTATGGTATAGGTTGCTACCGGTAAGTTTATGGTACTACTGGGTGGTTCTGATACCCTATACTTCTTTAAATTTACGACATTGTGTACTCCTCTGTTTCTTTCTCTTTTTCCAATCTCTTTGGTTTACTCTCATGATGCTCTTCATTGATTCTTTTTCAATTCCTTCTATCTTGAAATTTTTCTCCACTATTTCTTCTTCATTGCTCTCTTCAATTCTTCTGCGACTTGGTACTAACTCTTTTCTTAACTCTGTTCTAATCTTCTCTTTAACTTGTTCCTCTAACTCTTGGTAGTGTTCAATCATACTCTCGAATTCCCCCGTTTTAGGTAAATCGACATCTTGTGGTTTTCTTTCATCTACCTTCTCTTGTCTGTCACCTATTTTTTCTTCTTGCAACTTAGGTTGGTCTTTGTCCTTTTCCACTTCTTGTTCTGAACGATGTTGATTCCTTTCTGCTAATTCAATCTGGAGTTCCAAATTTATCTGTTGTACTTTGAAAAGATCTTCATGTGCTTTAGCCAATTTTTCTTCTAAGTCTTCTACTCTTTTCTGCCAAATTTTGCTTTCTTCGGGTCGCTTCTCCACCCCCTCCAACTTTCCTAAGACCATTGGTTTGTATGTGCTTTCTTCTTCCGTTCTATCAATAACTTCTTCTATTTCTGAATCGTCATCTTCACTCGTAATTGCTTGATTATTTGGTAAATGATTTTCTTTGGGTGTTGTATTGGCTTTGCATTGGTTATAATATACTTTTATAAAATTAACTAATTGTTGCTGCTCCTGCTGTTGTTGCTGCTGGCCAAGTGGAGCTCCTTGTCCAGTAGCATCTAGTTTCCCTGGTCGTTTCTTCTTGGCTGATTATCTACAGCTCCTTCATGTTGCCTTCGGTCATCATAACTTCTGCTGTATGCTCCATAATTTCCTCGTCCCCTTCCATAATTCACTGGGTTGGCCTCTCTTCTATTGTCTTGTTGATAATTATTTCGGTTTTGGTAATTTCTTTGGTCTTGATCTCTTCTTTCATACTGTTGTCTATTTTCTCTTCTGTCTTGATTTTCTCGGTTTCGGTTTTGATAAGGTCTTTGATCTTGATCTCTTGTTTCTGGCCTGTTTGAATCTCTTCTCCAATCTCTATTAGTTTCTTGAATTTTTTCTAAAATTTCTGTCAAATTCTTGATCGTTTTTGCTTGGGCCGCATATAGTACCATCTGGATGTCTCTTGGGAAATGATCTACTAGTGCTTCTATTAGCTGATCTTCCTTTATTCTTGGTTCCAGGTGTGCAGTTTTCGATACCCAGTACCACACATGGTCCGTGTAACTTCCATTCCTTGCATTATATAGTCTGGGCGTATTTAGTTGATGCCGGATTTTATTTTGCTTCTCCGTTGACCAAAATTGTTCCAAAAATTCTCTCTTGAATTCTTTAAAATTTCTCCATTCGCTTTGATGTAGGTCGGTCCACGCTTTAGCACATCCCTCCAAATAATCTTCCATTATATTCATTTTCTGTTCTTTGAGATGCATATTCATCCAATAATTCTCTAGGGATTTCAAAAAATTAACCGGGTGCACACTTCGGAAGCTTCCATCAAACTTCTTTGGTTTCAATGTTGTTAATCCCTCAGTTTTGTAAATGATCGTACTCGCCTTCTGTGTATTAATCGGTTTCTCTTCTTTTATTTTTTCTTTTATCTCTTCAATTTCTTCTGTGTTTCTTTCCACTTTGTTGTCGAGGTCAGTTATCTTCTGATCAGTTATTTTTTCCTGTTTTGCTATCTGGTGTTCTACTTTCTTGAACTCGTAGTCCACCTGCTGTGTGAAACCAACGTGCTGCTGATGTAAGCCTTCAATTTTCTTTTCATGAATCGTAAATCTTCGTTCGCATTCTTGTTTTTGACCTCTTATTTCGTTTCGTAACTGTTCGATATTCTTTTCTTGAGTTTTGATAATCTGTTCTTGTCCTGCTTCCATTTTGTTTTCTAGATGTGCTTGTCCTGCTTCCATTTTGTTTTCTAGATGTGCTTGTCCTGCTTCCATTTTGTTTTCTAGATGTGCTTGTCCTGCTTTCATTTCTTCTTGTCCTGTTTTCATTTCTTGTTGCATTCCCTGTATTGCTTTCATTAAGATTGACAAATCCATATTTTGTATATGGGCTACTGGAGCTGCTTCTAAAATTTCTTGGCTTTCTTGACTAAAAACGATGTCCTCACTCGCTTGTGTGCATGGGCTACTGGAGCTGCTTCTAAAATTTCTTGGCTTTCTTGACTAAAAACGATGTCCTCACTCGCTTGTGTGCCCTCCATTTTGTTTTTCTGTATTGCTCGATCAGCTTTCTTAAACCCGGACCGTAATTCCATAAAATGATTGTAATATTTGATTTTCTTTTTTCTTGTTTCTTAAAAAGTTTCTTCGTTGCTCTGCTGGTATAATTTGCATGAAACTCTTCTTTACAGGCGTTGATGGTTCGAAGCCCACCGATTGGGTGCCATTTGCGGCGGTTTCCTTAACTTGCTCGCAATTTATCGTTATTTTGGTAAAGGTTTCCTAACAAACTGAACGTAGGTACGCCATTTTGCCGTGGATGTTTCCCTTTACAAAATAACAGTAATTTTTCAGGTTCGTGTCGGTGTGAAAAATCTTCTTTTTCTCTCTTCAAAATACTTAGGACTTACCTTCTGTACCTCTTTAACCCGCTAGCTCAGATAATAACATGGGTGCAAATAGGAAGATAATTCGTTCTATTCTAGCTCACGGTATAACATTCATTAATCATAGAAACGTAACCAAAATTTGGAAGAATGTTGTTTTGACGTTACTACTCTCATATGCTTCCGAGATTGGTATGTAAATGCAACAATTTGGGTTTCCTTTATACGCAAGCTTCTTGACCTCCTTGAGAAATTACAGAGAATTAACATTAATTATCTTTTATACCTTTATTTGAAAGTCAATGGATTTAAAACATATAAATATCTCCGCCCTTAAAAGAACGGTAAAGCTTAATAATCAAAAATAACGGACATTTCCTTTAACTGGTACCTTAATCAAATTTAACTGTTATACAATCCCCTAAAATACATAAAGCCCCAAAAGTCAAATATAAAATTGTTCAGATCGATCAAAAATACGCAAACTTCACGATTTAATCAAGTTTATCAAATATAAAACTGCAAATTCTACCTTAATTCATCTCGGTAATGGCGTTGCTTCTTATCTAATCGCCTTACATCCGCTGGGAACAGGCCGGTGACCTCGCATTCCAGGCGTTCGGTTCCGTCGTTACAGGAACTCAAACTGGTGGTGGTGGACTGCCAAATTTCCCAAATCTAATCTTCTCAAGGTGGAAATACCCAAAAATACTCGCTGGCGGAAAACAATACGCCGGCGGGAAAAACTAACGCTGCATAGGCTCCTCTTCCAGGCTGGGAAACAAACTACGTTGGCACGCAGACCCCAAATTCCATCCTTAGATAACGATGTGGGCGTAAAATATCTCGATAACTTTATTTACGCTATATCAATTTTAAAACGTTCGGCGACGTCACACTACCACTTTTGACATTTTGTTGCGTATTGAAATCGTAGTACGCTAACTGCGTATACCGCGTACTGCAAATTTCCAGACACTAATCACCACCTTTACTACTCGATGGTTGAACGCCGACTCCCTGCACTTTTTTACTCCGCATAAAAATTCCCCTCGCACCGTATAAATCGCATTCTTATAAAAATGAAACAAAAGCACTTTAAAAATAGAATCTGTCCTTTGCACTTTATATCTAAGTTACATTGTAATCAAAAAATTCTTTCTAGGACGTAAAGAATGTGTAAATTTGGTTTTAAAAAACTCCAACCCATTACATAGAGTAAATGAATAAATTACTGAAAATGTTGCTAAATGGGCATAGATCCCGAAATAGCAAAAAAAAAAAAATGTAATAATACTTTATTTGATATGACCAATGATAACGAAATTTGTAGGCATGTACCTACCTACATAAAAAACTTAGCAAGATGGAATTACGTTCACTAAAGAGTTGTACAAACTTGTGTAACAAAATATTTATCTTTCGACGTTAAATAAAGCACATCTTTTATTTTCCGAAATGACCCGCATAGCCTTTTCTGAGTGAATTACACCGCTTTTTATTTTCACGTATTTTCAGAGTTATACGTGATTATATCTACGCCTTCCTGTCCCTCTACCCAACCCCATGTTGGAATACTAAAACTACACCGATACCTCAATACGGCGTGCCTTAGGAAGATTCCGATGAATGTGAACAGAATTTCTTTTAGTTATTCTGATACTTTTGGGTCGAATGTAAATATCCCAAGGGGCCTAAATTCAGTAGGTACCAAACCGAGTCAGTTCCGTATACCCCAGAGATTTAATGTCTGAATTTTACGCTCCCTCATGCATCCCATTATTCGCTGCATGCTTTCAATACAAAAGCGTTTTTGATTTTTGTGTCGGAATGAACTTTGATATTATTCTTCGTATGTCACTAAATGTTGCGAGATTGACGTGTCAACTAGGTCAACACCTTTTAAAATACAGTACACGCAGAAATTTTTGTAAGGAGGGGTTGGTTGGCATCTCAGATTATGTTAATCTGGGGTGGCGTATTGCACTACACGAGAAACAACAAAAAGCGCCCAAGCTTGCCAAAGTAGTACCTATACATATAATATGATATGACTTCGTAAACGAGTGAACGGATTAGTTCAAATTTGGCACGCAATATACCGAATGGATCAAAGAATTGTGTAAGCCATATTTTGTATAGGTATGTGTATTGTTCACCTTCCAGACAAATGTGACTGATTCTAAGCATTCTTTTAGCGTGCTCGATTTTCCGTCGTCTGTCTGTCTGCCTGACTGTCTGTCTGTGTGTTCCATTGGGATCTCGGTCCCTGGGATACCTAGAGACTTTTTTGCTAATTGGTAGCTGATATGCTCTATATTTGCCCGTTACTAAGCATTTACAGTTGTGTTACGCGGTAACACTCACAAGTGGGTTTTGAAATCTTTTTTAAAATTTTCCCGAATCGGATTTATCTTTTATACTTGCCTAATAGCTGGTTGCATCCGATAAAAAAGCGAATTCATATCATAATTGTGTATCCTCGAATCTCTCTTTCTTGTAACAATATGGATAGATTCAAAGAATTAAAAAATAATTAGGTAGCTCCTCCAAATCAAAAGGATATGTGTAAGCGCACACACAACCCCACCCTGACTCTGCTCTACTCCTACTTCTCGCCTCACGTACACCGTTCTTAACCTCACTACAAACTACATACAGCGTGTACCGCAACTATCTACATTACAAAACTAAATGAAAAAGTGGTAAACCCTTCGAGCAAGTAAATAAGTGCTGTTACAAGCTCAGTCACTAGACCTCGTATCGACCTCAGGATTTCCTTATATGAAAGGTTATGGGGTCCAGGTGTGCAACTATCACAAATTAACTTTTGCATTCATCACGTTGTTGCCCTAAATCGGTCCAAATCGTTATTTATGCAACAATTTTGTTGAGAAAAAGATCAAACTCGATGACCAAGATATGATACATGTGCATTTTTGATGACCAAAGTATTTTTTTTGCTCAAAGGATGTCAAAATCGTTATTTATGCATCAATTTTCTTGGGAAACCGATTGCTCAATTCCCAAGTGGTCTATGTATATTTTTTGTGATAACATATTTTTGGGCAAAAAATGTCAAAATTGTTACTGACCGTTTTTCCTGAGAGGAAGGCCGCGTATCGACTTCGGGTTTTCGCTATATGAACGCTTATAGGTTCCAGATGTGCAACCAGCAAAAATTAATTATGGGATCCTTCACCTTATTGGCCAAAATCGATCATTATTTATACACCATCGTATCGGCTGTAAAAGTAGTGTGTCCATCGGTAATTAGGTATACGTATAAAGTACAATGCTAAATGCTAAACTACAAATGTGATCCAGAAATCCCTCTCTTAACTTCTAAATTTTACGTAATAAAATCGCGATTTAACATGCACCATAAGAAGTCGCTATAAGGGTTGCAACTTCCATTAATCAACGTCCTTAATTAATAAACGAAACTTTTCAGGCATTTAGTGTTGTACATTCTGTTCACTTCCTTCCGGAGATAAATCCTTATCTCTTCCATTTGCTATCATAGGCCTTAAGTTTCTTTTTATTATTAGAGCTTGGAATAATATGTTCTTTCCTCAAAATGTAAATTGCGTCATTTTCGCCACATTCGTTGAAAATGTTTATGCGCAGCGAAGGGCGTTTGTATGTTACGTCTAAGCATTCCATTCTTGACACGGAAAATTAATTTCCAGAATTTAGAAAGGAGCCGTTACCATAAATTAAACGGACATTAACAACCGACAACACTGCATACCTAATGTCATTCCACACGCAGAACTAAATCTTTATAATCTTATTTTGAAATACATCATACGTATCTACCTACTTTAAAAGGAGCAAGGACGTCTCATATTTAAGAAAGGAGTGGTTTTATACACAGGAATGAAAATTTTTAGTAGGCATGATTCTCGTGTAATGGAATGTGTATCGTGTTTCTTTTGTTGCCTCATCTTGTCTTCAAAGTGAAAATATGTACCGGTAGGTAGTTAGCACAATGCACATTTTTCTTTAAAATTCGAAAATGATTTCAATCTAAGAAGACACCAACGGAAATAATAAATAACTGTATATTGATCAATAATAAACAGGGAAAGTATGAAAGACGTTTAGGATGCATCTCCTTGATTACATTTTTTATTCTTTATAAAGAAATTTAAATGGAATTCGATTTTGATTCCTTAAAAGTCTGAAAAGACGTCACAAATTCAGGGGTTTCTTTCGATAAGTATACAACTAAACAAAACAATAATTTTACATAATTTTCAACAACTTTATAATCTTTTATTTATAGTTTAATTAATGGTAATAGGTCAATAATTTCTTTTTTGAGTAATGGATCGTAAAGCAGTCAATTTCAATGTACAAAAATCATACAAGAATTTTATAACGAACCTTCTCCTGGGCCGCCTGGGCGATTCTTCTTTAATGTGGAAACCTGGAAGTCTTACAGGTAATCGGTTGACTCAGTATTCTGTGGAGTTAGCAGGTGATTTCAATTGGATGCCTTTGGAGCACTTTGTTTATAAATACAGACAGTGTCCTTATTTAACCGAATTAAGACACGACTACGAGCTTTTTACTACACGGGACGTATTCCTTGAGCGTAATTATATATTCCTTTAAACCTGTGTGAACTGGCACCTTTCCTGACAAACTGATGTGCACGAGATATGCACGAGGATTGGATACCCCATATGATACGCGATTTTTGCTATATCTTCGTTATTTTTAATTCGATTCTCATGCGGTTTTCGACAATGTAATTCTAATTTATCGGTAAACGGCGTTATTTCATTACAATTTTAAATTTGTGAACAATTTCATATCTTGGTTGTTAAAAATCATTATTTTAAACAATTTAAATAGCGCCGCTTACTTATACATTGGGGATGGCGCGTGGGTATAAAAAATCTTGTGTTTATAGTCCAGTAAATGCGTGTTTAAAACTACCGTTTTCGGAACAAAATTGCGGAAGTGTTTTTATCAACGGTTTTTTATGTTATCGAATGTGCTGCATCCGAATTTATTGTTTGCTGCCTTGTAGGAAGTCGGCTTCATACGAAATACGCAAAAAATTGGAATTTTTCAGTACTTTTTTGAGTTGTTTGCTTATATCTC